TCTGCTGCCTTACATAAACGTATTTATCTATGAGCACACAACATTTTTTGTTCCTCTTCCCCTGACAACATCATATTTTTCTTAGTCACAGGCTGGATATATTTTGAACATGCAGTAGAATATCTCCCATTTAGAAATAAACAAGCACTGGGTGCTGTCAAAATTAGCAGAAGAATCAAGAGAAGAGTTGTAAGAAGAGACACTATATTTGATTTCAGAACAGCTTGGTTAGGCCCTTACATCACTTCAGCTGTAACATTTTCATTAACTTCAGTAGGCTTTGGATCAAAACCTGAGTTGGAATGGAAGTTGACCATAATAACAGGAGTGTACTGACTGATGCCAACAGGCTTTGAATTGGTCCATTTTTATGAAGATTGTTTACAATGAATAAGTAATCCACACAGTGCTATATACACTACCCCTACACTCAGAACAATTAGGCTAATGTGGCGTATTGATTCACTGTTTTTACCGTTTGACAGCCATTAGATGTTATGGTTTTTTTAATATATTATTAAACTTTGAAAAATCTACAGATTCCATGGGTCTTAGAGAAAAAACCAACTGTAGAACCTCTCTTTTTAGCACCTTTTTTACTCGACAACCAAGCAAATTCTGATGAAGCATCTTTATATCAACCACATTCATTTTACAGGACTTTTTTTTTGTTCTCGTCTAATTAATCTTATATATCAGTCATATTTAGTAATTGTTGTAACTGTTAGGTACATTTCAATACACCAGATTTTAAAGATTTGTTTAATGTCACATTTATATATAGTAGATAATTGCATAGTTATTAAAGTTACTCATTTAATTCCTTTGCTTGGCTGGAGGAGAGAGTTATGGATACATATTTCAGTTCACTTCAATACTGCAAGCATACACTGCAAACAGACACAAGTGTACACTTGTAAGGATCACTTATGAAAAGTTCTGAATGTGTAATGCCAGTTTCTGAATCCTTCTGTTCCTAGAAAATAGATTTGCAGAATATGAAAAGCAGCCATCCAGATACAGTTTGCCTCATAAAATGAGAACTTTCGTACCTACCCCACAGCATTTATATATCTACCTTAGCTTTTGCACTGTTTCCTGGAACATGCTTCCACTCAACTGATCATCTGAAGGGGCTTTTCAGAAATCAGTGACCAAAATTTCCTGGTTTATGTTATTTAATAGTGGCTCACTATCCTTAAAGAGTATATACACACACACACACCAAAACAGTGCTGTCCAGTAACAACTATATGATTTCCAATTTGTTTTCTTTTGTTTTCTTGTCATTATACTGATAATATATCTTCATATTTTATCACGCAGATATCTATCAAACATGTAATAAATGATGATGACAAATCCACCGCATACAGTCTTTCAGAAACCTCTCCGTGGGATTTTTGTCACTAGCATTCATAATTCACAAGCCAGCCAACCTAGGATTTTGAGTTAGCATCTGAGAGAGAAGTTCTAGAATATCAATAAGACTCCTTCTAATATATATGGAAAGAAATGGCCATAGGGACAACTCAGTCCGCTGAAGATCTTTGGACAAAGCTCTGTATATCTGGGAATGGTTTCAAACTCCCAGTTTCAGATACTGTCTTATTCCACCTTCCAGCTCTGTACCAGCTCTAAATTAGGCATGCACCATCTTTTCTTCACAGTCAGTCCAGACTGCTACAAAAAGGAAACCCACCTTCCTCAACCAGGGAAGAACTGCTGTATGCTCCAATTCAATTCAGATAAATCAATCTTATGACACAGGCACCATGTACTTAGAGATCAGATAGATGTAGCCTTTCTCCTTAAAGGGACAACCTATAGATTGCACATTTCTGAATTTCTAAATAGGTAACTGCTTACAACTAGTTGAGATTAATCTAGACTTACTAAGCACGTTACTAATATAGTTGTTTATTAATAGAAGAGGCTAAGACATCGTCAGCACTGACATACCAACCCTGACTTCAATATGGTCTAATGCTTTTCAATCATTCCACAGATGATAGTGACAAAACAGAACAAAAAGCAACAGTAATATAAAGCAGCACTACAAACAAGGTGTATTTTCAACTACTAAACTTGCATTCATTTTTAACACTGCAAGTATGGATCTATATTCAATTCTCTAGAACCCAGCTTGCATTTTGAACATAAATTTGCTTTGCCTTACTCATGGGGAGAAGAAAAAAATCTAATCAAATTCTACGGAGTGTTTTCTCTGCTATAATTTAGTGGTAAAACTGGCAGGCTGCCTAACCACATCAAAAAGGGATACATTTGAAATGCTGTAACTATAAAATAACAAGGAAGCTTTTAGCCACATTCATGTAGTGGAGACTAGGAAAATGTTTACTTGTAATGTGGTTACCATATGAAAGGATTAATCTAACAGGAAAATACATTATAAAGTTGTGAAATTGTCTTGCTCGATGTATAAATATTTTATGTAAATAGAAGAGGATTTGGGATTCATATAACATTTATATATTTTTAAAACTAAAGGCACAGCAACTGCCGCAAAGCATTCTTCAATAATGCTCTCAGTCTGCTATCTACACTAACGCCTTATTTGTTTATATTAGCTTTTCCCTTAATGAAGATGGCGCCGGTGGTTCTGTCTGGATAAGCTGCTGACAGGACACCATCAGCTTCGATGGAAGGCATTACTGAGAGAGAACAGGCATTTTTTCAGCTCAGTGGCTCTGACTGCTGGCTATGGAGAAAGAAAAATTGATGCCAATGGCTGGAATAAGGAACAATGACTTTCTTCAGGGAGAAAGTGGGAGAAGTTTGAGAAAATTGGGGTGGCTTACATAGGAACGTTTGAGACTCTGAGCACCTTTCTCACAGTTACTTATTTTATTTCACTGCCACTTTCTTCATGAAGTGTGTCAGTGGAACACAAAGTCCTTGAAGGCAGAGAGCCCAATTCTAAATTGCATGCCAGGGAAGAGGGTAAAGGGACCTAGACACAAATAAAAAGTCAGATGTCATTTTCAGTTCTAACCCAATGTAAGCAGAGCTTGATTTTTGTTATTGTTATCTGAGACATTGATCCCATTTGAGAAATGAAATAGAACAATCTTGTAATGACTAATTGTCAACTAAGAATACCAAGACTTTCTTGAGATGTAGACAACTGCTACCACAAATACTGCTCTGCAGCATGAGGATAGGACTACCTTCATGGAAGAACCAACGCTTTCTACCAAATCTCAAAGCATTTTCAAGAGTAGCAGACAGTAAATGTCTGAGACAAGACTCAAGGCAAAGACTGATAAATTTACTGCGTTAGTTGCTCAAATTCATAAGCCCATAGGGAATAAAAATGTATTCATTACAGAACTTAGAAAACAACACAGCTTCCTTGAATGACAGATAGTATTCAAACTCAGCTTAAGGACAAAATGGCCTATATCTGGGTATTAGGGACTGCATTGCAAAAGAAGGCAATGACAGTGCCTTCTAATAGGCTACAAGCACCATGGAGTCAATGGAAGGGTGGGAAAGAAAGGAAACTGGCTCACCCCTGCTGGTGACTGGTGAAAGCTTAAGAGGATTGCCATCACAGTGCAGAGAAACACTACTCCTGTGGCTGCTAACCCTTAAATGAGGCTGAGAAGGGGTGGATTCAGGCTCCACCCCTTCTGATACTCAGGTGCATTGCTTGCACCTGAGCTCCCTGGATTAGCCACACCTTCTCACCTGGTGCTCAACCATTTGTTCAGGCCATGACCTGGCATTTCTCTGTGAGTACCATGATGAGTTGCTGCATTTTTAATTATAATAAAAAGGCTTCCAATCAAAGGTGTGACACCAAAATCAAAATACATCTTCCTGGATGGTAGCATAGCCAGGTTTACATAGTGCAATATTATGGATCATTCTGCATCTGTAATTGCAAGCATCTGTAGATTTTTAGGGCGAGGAGAAAGTTTGGTGAAATGTAAAGCTATCACATACAGGGAACTGGATGATGCTAGCAAACCTAAATATGACCGAAGTTTGGACCTCCACCCAAACGCACAATCAGAAGAATTCTGTATCAAGGTCTCAAATACATATATTTTAATTATTACATTATTTTTAAGCCAATGCTGAACTCCCATGGATACCTCTGAAAATCAGGCAATAACCTGCCACATACAACTCTATTCATCTGCCTTATGCAATAAGAAATGCAAGGGTATCAGCTGGGATACAGAAAGTCACCCTGAGAAGAAGAAATGTATCCAGCAAATGGCATCAAATAGAAAACTTAAAAATCCCTTAAAGATTCCTACAGAAATTTTACTAAAATACATGGTGTATACAAAATATGTGCTCATGGCATGGAGCATCGCCCTTGAAGCAGCAAGATATCAGTATCAGCACTTTCACGTGTTATACATTATCTGAAGCAAGAGGGAGGGAAACTAGCACCTAAACAAATAACCCAGTTCCCATATATAGATCAAGATCAGTCAAACCAAAGATTGTTTCATTATTAATCATAAAGTAGAAGAGTCTAAAATGAAGTAGATTTCTTTCTTTTAAATGCCAAATGCATTGAAGCAGCAGTCATTTATTTTTATGTCATTATTTCTTTTGATACTATGCAAAATACCTCCATTTTAAATGCTGGTTTTCTAAAAACATAACCATTAGGATAGTTGTTACATATTTAATTTCATGCTCCACTCAGCATAAAGCAGTTGAGAGACTGCCAGCCAGAGCAAATTAAGTAACCGGTTAGATAATTTCCTGCTTAATTGAAAGCAGGTAGTTTTTAAAAGTAATAATTGATTTTGTTTCTAATGAGCGTGTAGCTATTTCTTCCTTTTTTTACTCCTGTTATTAAACAAGATTGCACTGAACTGTTGTACACAGTAATGACAGACACAGGAGGAGGAGAACTGGAAAATACTCTTCATTTAATATTTTAGGTTCCAGTTGCAATATCAGAATAGGAAAATGGCATCCTAATATCAGTCCTCCGCTTCAAGATCACATACAGATCAGAACTTCTTACCTTCGTGCTCTTTGGAGACAAGAAATGAGCCGGGAATTTCAGCTTAGTCCAAAGTAAAGAAACATCCATCATCATAGCAAGCAGTTGATCTCAGCAAAAAAAGTGGTCTGGAGTCACTGCTGTCTTTTTGCTTTTAGTAATGGTCACTCCAAAATGAAGTAGCTGGAACGTCTAAGGGCAACAGATAAAGAAATATTTGGCTGATAATTTTGCATCATTGGGTAGAAGAGGACTTATTTCTCCATGACTGTCAAAACAGCACTTGTCACAAGCAGTTAGTGCTTGAAAATTATATTTAAAAATAAAAGAATAATTGTTCTATTAAAATGCTTAAACAACAACAACAAAAAAAACAGTTTCTGATCTAAAGAAAAAATTAAGATGATTGTGTCCATCTTTTTTTTTCCACTTCTTTGAAAATTAACAAAAGACAAAGCACATTCTACACGTGTAGAAAATATTCTTGCAAGCTTTGTATTACAATCCAATGTTTTGACAAGTTGATATGAGAAATAGTCAAACTCCAGGCTGACTCATTTTTTAGTCTATCTTCATAACTGCTGAGCACCTAGGACTACTTCCCTTTACCATGTGCATTTTTATAAGCAACAATTCCAAAACAGGAGAGATGCAAACACAATCCAGAGACTAAAATCTGTAAAACATCTGTATAAAAACCAGAAGCTATAGCACCACACCACTCACACACACACAATCAATTTATAACTACTACAACATGCCGAGATAATTCTCCCAATGAAAAATCATTGCCGAATTCAGGCTATTAGGTATCTTCCATATCACTGTTATTGATGAATGCCCTGAGACAATTAAGATATGCACCAGGTAGAGCAAGCAAGAGTTCTGCAGCCTGTCAGAAGCTTAATTCATGCATTACTGAAGTATTACATACAGTTTTAAGTACTTAGATCTCGTATTTAGTGTACAAATCCTTCTTCCGAATTCGCAGTCTTACAAGCAAGGATTTAAAGAAAAAACCTTTATCCACACGGAACAGAATAAAGAGGTTTGCAAGGGAATCATAAAAATTGGGGATATATCTTCTTGAGCTTGTTCTAAGGATGTACAGTCACTGACATTTACTGGTATTCTAGATGATGAGGGCTTTTTTTTTGGTTTACGCTCACAGACAAACCTCTCAACGAGTTAATAACTTAAACAACAACACTGTGTTTTTGTTGTTTTCCCCAAAATCCTTGTTGCTAACCATAACAAATTCTCCTTTTATTTTGTTTAAAAATCATCAGTACAGTCCTTAGAGTTAACCCATTCATACATAATGGTACATGACACCAATATTCTTGATTAATAATCTTCTATTTTTCACATGTGACCACGTCTGTCCAAATACAGGTAAACATATTTGTAGGCGTCTATGTATGTATCTCAGTTTATAATACTGTGGTCTGGAATGTCTGGGGAAAGCTATTAGCAAGTTCAGAATAGGTATTTTATTCAAAGAAGAAAGTACACATGAAGAAGCCATTCAGTCTGTTCTGTGCAAACACCATGTCATCAGGTACTGCTTCTGTACTATAAACATTATAGAGGCAAAACAGCTCAAACTCCGAGAGCTTTTCAGATTTGGATTAGGAGTGCTTCTCATATCTCACCACTTGTGAAGCTAGATGGTGCGGTTACCACCAGCTAAAAGTTTTAGTCCTCAGAGTAAATGAAACGCGACTCAACGCACGCTCGACAAATCCTGACGTTAAGTAGCATATCTCATGCAATGAAGTCACACATTTCATGTTTACTGTTAGTGTTGCTTTCAGTTCAGCAACTGGATTAGAGCTGATTTATAATATTCTCTTCCAGTATTTATAACATTTCTCAGTCCTTCTTCTGTCTCCTTAGAGGTCAAAATAAAGATCGTTAATACTGCAAATTGTCAGGCTGCTCATCACAAAGCTTAGGCCAGGGTCACTTACAAATCAAATTTGTACAAACAGAAGTTGTGGGAAAGGAAGAGAGCAAAGAGGAAGAAGTAGAAAAATATGACGTAGATATGTTAAATCTGGAAGTGGGAGAGGGGGAATGTTTTCCTTTGTGATATTCAAATGAATATTTATGAATGGTCACTCCAGTAAATAGCTGTGTTGCTTGAGGACACTGGAGAAGCTTCTGGCAGACACTTGCATAAGATTTTTTTTAAAAAATTAAAGGCATTCATTTTTTGCTTTTCAGAAATCCAAATTCTAAATGTTATTTAAGAATTTACTATGTGCACACATGTACAGTTTAAGTACACATGTCTAACTCATATAAATACACTATGTTTAAATTCTGAAGACTAAAAGAACACAAGTAAAGTCTAATGCAGGCTTTATTTCTGATACCTTCTTCCAATTAAGACAGTGGATGTACAGTTATTAGGACAGATTTGATAGCACTACACTGATCAGTGACCACAGACCATAATAACTGCACAATCCATTTTTCAAACAACTCCCAGGAAACCCAGCTTCTAGATCCTTGGTGAACTTGCACCAAGAACTCACAGCCAATTAATCTGTAAATATCATCAAATGAGTAAATCTAACTTCTGAATTACTTTCTCCAAGTACTTAAGTGAAGTTATGTCCCCAAAAGCTTTAAAAGAAAATAAGTTATTAAATATCACAAATTTACAATATAGATTAAATCTAATAAATTATACTTGCACAGAATGAGAACTGCCATTCAAACCAGTCACAATTATAAGAAAAGGACAGCTGATCATGCATAAGCAAACACTGTAAGATGTGCTCTTTGGAACAGAGAGTATGTGTAACCAAACAGGTGAAAAGTTTTTTGGGGGGGAGGAAATTAGTGAGAAGGAGTATGAACTGGTATCTTTCAGAAGGACATCTATGCTTGTGTAGACACATGCTAATTCTATTTCCTTTGCAGTTTCAGACTGCAGTTTATTTGTTACTAAGAAGGCTGAGCAATAATAGAGTTTACAAACAGGAGCATAGCTCTAGGTTTGACCTACTCAAATGACCTTAACAGAATTTTACCATCAACTGAAGGAAGAACATTGACAGGTTCCTAGGAGATACAAAGTCATAGCAGCAAAGAACCACCTCTCCTTTACCAAACAAGCATTTGAAGAGGGCAGTCTAGCCAGATGGAAAGTGTTTAATAGGCCATGCTTAATTACAGATTCTAGGAAGGAGAAGAATCTTCTGCATTTACTCTAGCCTTGAGAACCAACAAGCTTGGAGAAGTCTTCATGAAAGCCAGAGCCTTCATGAAAGCCAGAGTATGTTGAGATGCCTCCTAAAGCACACCATGCTTAGCTGCAGTCTTATCTTTTTCCAGTATTTTATGGCTCTGACCAAATACCCTCTGTGTTGTCCAGACTTACCTGTGTATCAGGCTCTGAAATCAATCACAACTGCCGTATCTGAAAAGACAGAGAAAGACAGCACTGATGATTTTCTACAGAAACTGTGAACAAAACAAACTACTTTTAAATGTTATAGTTTTTAGCCAAGTAGATGAAAAAATAAAATCAGCTTAAATTCAGACTGTTAGAAATTTTCTGCAGATCAAGAGCATGTGAGCTTCAGTCCTATAAGTTGACTTGTATCCAAGGTCATGTTTAAGGATAAATCAATTTAAAATCAAGCACTATGGGTAGACCTACTTTCTCAATGGTTATTAATCTCAAACCATCTGCCCTAACCTCCTTTATGAACATGCTCCCCACAGGACAGGAGAAAAAGCTGAGCAGCAAAGTGGACTTAGAAAAGACAAGCTCCAGCACAGTATTTATCATAGGTTAAGATACCTAACTCATAGTTTTCACTTCACTGTTTTAATTCTGGACTGGAAACGATGATTTACAGTGCAACACAGCTTAATTTAACTACAAGAAAATTCTGAATATGCGCTACCAGATCTCTCAGGAATTAAAGAAAATTGTATGTCTTTTCTCCTCTAAAGGGAGAACAAAAGTTTTCATGAAAACAAATAAACCTCTACAGAGTAAAATACAGTGTGATAGCTCTATTCTGAAAAATTTACCTACTTTCTTCTTTCCCTCAAACAGCAGTGCTGTTAATGGTCTCAGCATTGTAAGGGCTGAATATGCTCCTTTCATTCTGTGTTCAAAATGAGTGCTCTGGTACGGGAAAACTAATCACGTCGCTGTTCATGCTGTCCATTTTCTATGGGCAATTAAAATCTTCTAGAACTTCTTTGACAAAACACAATTTATGCCAGTGCAAAGAGATACAAACAAGATGACATATCATTGTTCTCTGAGCAGGATTATCGGTGAGTTCTTGACCCAGTACCTGGAACAAATACACCTCCCACCTTCCCACAGAGGACAAAGATGCAGGGAAACATACAGCTCCTGATGGTTCAGGCAGGAGCTCCCCCCTGTAAATCCATACACTGCAACTACGACAAAAGTAGATGCACCACAGTCCTCCTTCAACAACTTCTGCCCTTTGATCTCCACGTCCACTTAGGCTTCGGAAGCACTGTATCTGATTTAAATCTGATCAGGTTTAAAATAACATTTCAGAATTTCTGGTAGAATCACACCTCAGGTGATTCCTTTCACAAAGAAAAGCCATAAGGCACCTAAGAAATACGGTGTAGAGCAGTAAGTCTCCTGCACATTATGGCGATCCTTGTTATAAGTAAATCCTGGTGGGAATAACAAACCTAAATTACACCGGAGAGTTAAGACACACTCTTACCTCATGCCCTGCAGATCCTCCAGGATTCAAAGCCACATAATTCTAGATGTAACCTCTGCAGATGCCAACTGTCTAGCATATCAGACTTCATTACTGAACACTGAAACACTGCAAATTGATGAATTTAACTCAAAGACAAAAAAAAAAAAAAACCTCATTGCAGGACAAAGAGCTTCTTTAACCAGGGTATAAAAGCCACCCTTGCTCTTCTACAAGAAAAACACAGAGCCCTGGCAGCATAAGCAAACAAACCTTCCAGCACAAGCACACAGCAGATGCCATGAGGCAGCCAGAAGTATATTTACCACAGCTAAGAGCCTGAACGATCGAAAACATGAACCTCCCATTTGACAATATGAACAAGACAAATAGCAGTAATTAAGAAAACATGTTACAATCAATGCAAATGCCTTTTTTTTTTTTTTTTTTTTTTTTTTTGCTTTATTAATTATGAAAATATAAAGGGCTACTGTCAGGACAAATTTGGCCAGCCACTTTCTTCTTCTCTTGCCTTAAATCATTGAAAAAAATTTTTTTTTTTTTTTTTAATTCACATGGAAATAGCTTTAGATAAATAAAACACTTGCCATCTACCTACTATTAACACTGCTATGGTAGACAGAGTTTCAAGCTTTTTTGCTGCTAACTCCAACAAGAAGTACATTATTAAATAATGGGATTTCTCCATAAATCAGTTTGTTATAACTACATACTTAGAAACCATTTTTTACATTTTACATATATATATATATGTGGATACGTGCATACACCACAAAGAAATTTCATACAATTATCACAGTTCATGAAGTTGGTATGAACCCTTTCATGACCAAAGCTGTCTATTGGGCAGCTCTGAGAACACAACGACATAATGAAAACGTGCTATTTGCAGCTTCATATCTCAAAATAGGGCCCAGGAAATAATACTCAGTCCTGAGCCTTCTTTGATCTCCTTACATCCAATCAACAGTAGTGAGATATCTTAAATTCTTCCTATTTCCCAGATGTTTCTGGGATCTCAGATCCCAGATCCCAGCAATTTTTTCTCTCCGTCTCTAAGATCACTTTGCAAAACAGCATTTGCTGGTTGACTCTGCAGAGCACAGAACTCTTATATTTGGCTCATTGCACTACATGTAAAAGATCCAAATTAGCAGGGCTGCTCCAGAAGTAATGCCTCCTATTTTATTATGTTGGCCTATTATATCAGAGGCAGATGCTGGTGGTATGGCAGCAGAAGTCAATCTCTTCCACCAATATTCCATTATATTTTGTTGCCATGCAACAGTTGGCAGCAGAGAGCCATTCTGACAAAACGACATTTGACCCAAAAGAGTAGATGAAGTAAAGGTGTGCCATTGAACTCCTCCATGCAGAAAACATTTCAACCACTGACATTCATCTATTCTTGCAGTGTGTTTCAGTGGAGTTAACAGCAGGTCACCTCCATTTGTAAAGATTTTTTTATGAGCATGGCACGCAGTCTTGTTCATTACTAGCAAAAATGCATAGTGATGGTGGCAACTTTATTGAAAAACAGCATTTTGTAGCTGAGAATTTGCTCTATCAAATCATGTTATCGTGCTCTTTGTATCTATCTTAGTTTCCAAGTAAATAAATACAAGGCATTACTTTCAGAGTGACCAATGTAGTAACTGTGTATCATACAAGCAAATTTCTTTTGCATCCTGAAAATTCTGAAGCAAATGTATTTTGAGTAAACCATGGTAAGATAATCTAAAGTGGCACTGTTGTGCTTCCCATGCGAAAGGTAGATCCTGTACTATCCTACATGTGGCATGGCTTTCAGGATGAGACTGAAAAAACTCCCAGTATACACTTGGAAGGGACTAATAAAGTCTACTTGGTCTGTCGGCAAAACTGCCACTTGGAAATATGGCCAAATCCATAACAAACACACTCTACAGAATTACATTTTCACTGTGAATACTTCATGGGAACTTTCCCCCCCCACACTGTAGCATAGGCTACCTGAAAGTTACATCCTATCTCACACAAAAGGATAACAACTTTTGACTTATTGTCACCCAGCATTCATAGAACCATAGGATGGCCTGGGTTGAAAAGGACCACAGTGATCATCTCCCCCTGCTATGTTGCCAGGATCGCCAACCAGCAGACCAGGCTGCTCAAAGCCACATGCAGCCTGGCCTTGAATGCCTCCAGGGATGGGGCATCCACAACCTCCTTGGGCAACCTGTTCCAGTGCATCACCACCCCGTGTGAAAATTCCTTACCATCTCAGTAAAAAAGAAGACAAAGTAGTTCAGAATAAGGCAGCGTGTTTGAAGTTATTCCATTTATCAGAAGCATGAGCCACAAAGGCCCAGTAATATAAGCAAATTTTGAAGATGAAAAGAAATCTCTAACTTAGACAGATGTTACTGATGGATCCAGGTATGTATTTTGCACTGCTGACCAATAAAGCTTATCAAAAACTGTAAACAGTCGCTTACAACATTTTAATGCTTTTAAAACAACTATTTAGTTAATTTTAGAATAGCAGATTTTTTTCCTTCTTGGACAAAGCACACTCTGTAGGCAACTAAAGACTATGATTTCCATATTATTTTTATCAAGTTGCCGCTGCCATCATAATACATGGCAAGGCCTGATTTGGAAAGCAGGAATTGTTTGTGTTTCAAACGGATAAGAAAAGCATATAAAGCTCTGAACATGTCTAATAGGCATGTTGGCCCACACTACTTCACCATAAGAAGCCCTCCAAGTTCAAAACTGACTGCCAAGGCTGCATACATGACATTTGCTATTTCAGTTCCTACGGGAGGGTCCAGATAAGATCCTTATGGGTGAGGAATAATGCTAGACCATCTCTAGCCAAATATTTCAGAGACTGCTTTAGGCTTTACTTTTTGGAAGTACTGACAGTGGCCCTGATCCAACAAAGCTCTACAGAACATAATTTAAGTGCTTTGCTAGATCAGAATTGTAACATACAATGAAGGAACACAAATATCTGACTGTTACAAATACTGGAAAACGCACAAGCCCAGTTAAAGTTTAATATTGTACCCATTTTTCAACAATACTAAATTCCACATTCCTGTGAATCTGCTCCCTTATCCGAAAGAAAGATAAATGGCAGTGTCGAGGCGTGGGTCTGGTCTTAAACACCATTCCCCGTGCTACCAATCTCTCTATAAACTTCTCTCCTAGTGATTTTTTGCCCAATCAACACATTTTAGATTATGCATCCAAGTACAGCAGTAGATAAAGTCAACATTCAGCTATATCACAGCTGATGAGCAGCAAATCAAGAATGTTGAAGGGCCAGAGGCACCAGGCAAGTTCCATGCAGAGCCAATTTGGGTCTGATTGAGTTCATCAGCTCAGGCTGCATCGCAGGGCCCTGCAGATTGACATCCGTACAAGTACTTTCACACGGTATGGAATACGAATGCGTCTTGCAAAGCTTGCCCAGTTATCCCTATGCTGTGCTAATCAGCAAAGTTTGGATTCATCTGAGTGGCTCTGAAGTCATACTGATGTTACTAACCCCAGGCTGAACTCAGTCTGAGACCCTGGTTGGGCACAGCACAAACCCAGCCTGGACCCAGGACCACCTGAGCTTATCTCCCGGTAGAGCAGAGCACAGAGGCACAAACGATGCCGCAGAATCCAGGCTAAACCCATACCTCCAGCTGAGCATCAGCCACGCAGAATCAGGGTTGCACTTTTGCGAGGACACCCGCTGTGCTGGGCTGCTTAGCTCTCCTGATAAGAGCCACACAGATCAGGCACACCCAGGCACACGTCTGGTTCAGCAAGGCTGAGCACTTCAGCCCTATAGGGCAAGGCAGCAGCTGGACTGCATCCAGGCTCACTCAGCGCTTAGATGTACCAGGCTGACACCGGCTCCTGATGAACTAATCAGATGTAGTTGCAACACACACAAGCCGTCACAGTTTCCAGAGGGCTCCCCTCCCCAGCGTCATTCGCCGCTCCTGCTTCGTGCAGCACCCAGATCTCCTGGCCATCCCAAGTCCACGTGCAACTCCCTAAGGAAACACAGCATAGGAACATGTAAAAGGCACAGAAGCATAACAATACCAAGGAACATCAGTATTAGCATAGCTTATTGCAAGTAAATCAGAGCGGTTCCTATGCGAGTGCATAATACAGACAGCACCTTTAAACTCAAGATGCCAGCCAGGTTCTTTCCCATCTAAAGCACTTGGTTACAGTGAGCTACAATTTGTGTTATAACAATGTTAATCAATTAAAAGCACAAAGGGGCCATTACAATCGCACTAAAACACTCGATAATTTTGGAAAATTAATGTTTCACTATGTCTTCATTCTTACAGACAAATTGAGTCAGAAGCATGTTGTTCCTGCAGAACACATTAAGCTTTTGGAACCACATGAAAAGTAATTGATTTTTTTTTTTTTTTTTTCCTTAAGTAGGATTCTCATCTTTTTAACATCACTACAAGTTATATTTAGGCTAATACTTACAGCGAGTTTCACACACAGGCTGCAAGCTACCAAACCACGAGGCCACAGCTCAGCACTGTTATGGCTTAGTGGGAACGGTTGGCGGCTGATCTGTATGGCCTTAGTGGCCTTGTGCAGAAGCACCAAGTGCTGACAGCATCCTGTATCAGCTCAGATATATTTCCTCCAGCACAGAAAAAGGGGCAGCGAAGGAGAAGGCGGCAAAACCACGGTAGCATCCCAAAAGCGAACACAAAAGTCATTCACTCTCTCACAACCTAAGAATTAGGATGTGCCAGCTGTGGCCATCAAAGACATTCACATGAATTTAGCTCAGAAAACCCCACATCGGCTGCCACCGGCTCCAAACGCGAGCGACGCGAGGCGCCCACACACAGCGCCCCGCTGACCGCTGTGCCACATAACGCAAGGGGGGGCGGAGGGGGACCGCGAGAAAGCCGGGGCGCGCATGCGCGCTGCGGCGGTCGGTCGGCGTGCAGCTGGAAGTCATTGCCCGCGGCTCGGCGTCCGCGTTGCCACGGCGACCGCCCCGGCGGCGCCAGCTGGGCCGCGGCGTGAATGGGTGATGTCACACGGCCGGCGCCGGCCGGTCTGGGCTGAGGGGCCGAGCCGCCGGCCGGGGGAGCCCGGGATAAGCGGGGTGTGGTGGTGGTGGTGGTGAGGTGGGAGCCTCCAGGAGCGGGGCACCGGGACCCGTCATAAGAGCCCCAAAGAGCCCCGATGCCTATAGGTTCACCTCAGTGTTGCCCCAGCTCTGGAGGCGCTCACAGCCAGCTTGCATGAGCTGGTGTGTGGCAGCGGGTTGGAGCTTAAGGCAGGTGAGAGCCGAGCGGCACGCCGAGGGCTCGCCCTGCAAACATCCATCTGATGGTGCTCACCCGCAGCCGTTCAGATCGCAGATGGATTTTAGCACGGCTGAAAGTGAACGGATCTGGAAGCGGCCCCTGACGCCGGCCGCCTCCATCAGGTAATTCGGCAGCGGCGAAACGAATTCCTTCCTGAGAAACCCGCTCCTCCGCTCCCATCGATCATCACCTGCGCCGGACTTCACACTGCAGCTTAATCCTATTCTCTCAAAGGTTTCAAGCCTCTGCGAGATCCTGACTGCTAGGGAACAAAGGCTGGTATGCGGTTCCCTCAAAGGTCAGTCATTAACCTGCCCCAACAACAGTTTTAGGAAGATCAAGGCAATGAAGGAAAAAAAAAGCCAACAAAACACCACCAGAAAAAGCACTTTCGCTTTGGAATGAATTGTTGAAAGTGCCCTTATACACTCAGTTTTATTCCCTTTCAGCTCCGCACTTTTTAGTTCCTGCACGTATTTATTTCTCATCAGGAATAATGGCAAGATTTGCTCTCCCAGAGTTTTGACCTTAAGTTTATTCTACCCACAATACTATAGACCATTTCATCAATTATGAATGTACCCATGTGTATAGAGGAACTGGTAAGCCAGCTCGGTAATACTACCTTGCTCTGAAGACTTACACTTATAAATAAATTAGGGGCATATCTTTATGAAATACCTAAGACAGAGAGAAAGAAAGCAAGAAAGGGAGAAGGAAAGAAAACAAGAAAGGGAGGAAGAAAGAAAGGAAGAAAAATCTAGAAAACCACTTTTTTAAAAAAAAAAAAGATAAAAGGGCACTGGCTGCCATCAAAGTGTTTTCTCTGTGATTTGTATTTTGAATGTCTGTGTGTCTATATAAAGAGATAAAATGCTGGATATGCAGTAGCCAGACTATCAATAAGGCAGTTATTTCCATAAGTTATTGATGACCCTTTAGCTCACAAGTGACAGGCCAAAGTAGAGCCATGAGCAACTTATGAAAGGTCATCAATAACAACTGAAAATAAATGTTGTGTCCAGTGCATGCCCACTGTGTGCCCTGTTTATACAAAGCCAGTTTAAGTTTCTCGTGGCGTAGTTGTAATGACTGCAGTCCCTGTCTGAAGCAGCCAGGTTTTCCAGTAGCAGAGGAAGGAGGAGATGCACGCATTCCCATGAGGCTGCTCACACACCTCATGAGTACTTTTTGTCAGACACAGAAGTAAAAGCGTGCATCTCTCAGCACACCAGGATGAAACAGGACCCTGGGGAGTGAAAGGAGAGACCGCACACCTCACTAAAACATTAACCACTACGGACAATCCTGGTGCTGCAGTGTAAGACTGCTCAGAAGAAAGAAGATACGGAGGCAGGGAGAGGAAAAAGGAGAAGCTGAGAGGCAAGGTTGTAAATAAATTATACCCCGTGTTAAGATTGCAAATGCATAATATCCTATTAACGTATTTCTAATAATAATCTGCATCGTACTGCAAGGAGGATTGATGCACTGTGTGTGGTAAGAACATCCTGGAGGCAAAAGAAAGATCTTTCCGTCTACCTGGAGTCTTACTCCCCACAGAAAGACTGCAATGGACACTGGATGCGGTCCAGTGGGGAACAAACACTTAGATTTACCTGCTTGTTAGCAGATCTTGCTTTCAGTTACCATCACCCTAAAACGCACTGATGTTTAATTAAAGTTCTATATTTAAAAAAATATATTTGCATTCTCTCATATTTGCATTTTCACATCTTCAAAAATGATGTTTGGAAAAATTGCTTTTCCAGAGCTGGAAGAAGAGTCACTATTTCAAGAGGTTGGTCTACAATAAGTAAATGACTTTGCATCCAGTTGTGAAACTTCTACTCGCTGGAGCAGTCCCCATACCGGCATCCTTAGGCAAATAAGCTCATTTACTTCAAGACACACTTCCTATATAAGCAAGGATTTGTGCTGCTTTTCAAGTCAATTTCCTCATTGAGTTAAATTAAGAGATTTGCTTGAAAAACATACATCAGTGCATTAAAGTGTTGAAAGAGCATGTTAGTAGAGTAAAAATTACCAAAATAAATGTCATTAACACTTCAAGGTAAGTATGTGGAAACATGCTGGTATTGAAGACAACTTGAAATAGTTACTTAGCATAAGCTGTGTGATTACTGAATATATTCTCATGTATGCATGTCATTTAACTCAAAGAAAACAAAGTCCAAACTGTAAAAAATTTGCATGTTGAAACATTTTTAACAGCAATTTTGAACGTGTCTTGACTTCCACGTAGTTCACCCCCTGCACAAGAAGGAAAAAAAAAAAGAACATGAAGAATTGCTATACGATTACTCTAGGATGGAAAATAACATTAATTCCCATTTCTTATAAGGGAAAATTAGTAAGTCACAGAATATACTTACCGGTGAAGAATTGCAGTTCATGGATCATTGTCCGATACACTCCTTACATCCATCTTTCTTTTTATCTGCATCTCCAGCCATTTGCACTCTGTAATGTGTATCTTGATTTTAATTCACTGTGCTGTGCAGTGGTTTTCATTACACAGTCTCGTTGTCCTAGGTAATACATGAAGTCATTTTAGTATGAAACACTGCTGGAATTAAAACCCAGGAGTGTGACCCTGACTACCTGAAGGAGACAATGCCCCTCTCACTTCTTTTATTGCTCTCTAAACGTGGCATCCCACCGGAGCTGTATTCTGCCAACAAAAGGTGAGGGCTTTTGTTTCCTTAAGTAACTTTCTCACAAGCAATGTAGGCTATAAAGAATGATCACAAAAAAAAAAAAACAAAAAAAAACATTCTACCAGGAATTAATATAAACTTTTTTTTTTCCTTTTGGCACAGTGCTTTTTCAAACACACACAAATGCATACGCAAAGCGAGACTGGCGACCTTAGAAATAATCTCCTACTATTTCTTCTGTTGGATGGAAGAGAAGAACGAGGAAGAGCTTTTTATTTCTGTTACTAAGTGCTCGGTTGATCCTCATGTGATATGGCAACAGGAACTCCACAGCAGGTAAATGAATAGATAATAAGGTTACACAGCGTTCTGCTCATCTTGGAAGGGCACGAGGTGGCCCATCAACAACTGAAGTATGGGGGTTTGAAGGCACCTTGAAGAGCCTTCCCCCACCAGCACCAGACCTGCATTTCTGGTTCTTTCTGCCTCCTCAATGATGACGCTGGTGTGACTTGAACCTGGTTGGCAAGCAGCACGTTCTATAGAGCTTTAAATATTGGTCAGGCTGTCACAACAGCGACGTGCAGAATTGTAAATTAATATTTGGCAAGCAGGTGATGTCTGAAAGTGACGCTGACCCACAGAAGTACTCTGACAACCAAACAACCACTCCTGAGAAACATCAGGGCATTTACATCACAGCAGAGAAGGCAGAGGCGCTTCCACCTGCCTTGGATGTCCCTCTGCTGTGGGAAAGGCTGTCTTCACAGTTAGGGAAAGAGAAAATATTTTGCCTTAATTCCACAACAGAACCAAACCAAAAATGAGCCCTGAAGATTTTGAAGAATCCCTTGGAACACTGGCAGAGATCAAGTAACAAAAGTGTCACTAATAGCTATCAAAATGTAAAATGTTGCATTGGGGTAGACGACCGCTATTGTTTCTGCTGGCTTTTTTTGCAGCTTGAACTTGGACTGCTTTTGCTGATGAAGCTGTTCAGGTCTCCTGCAAATAAATACTGGTATCATTGGTGTAATGATAACATATGCAGATGAGCATGTACATATCCAGATACTTATTTCATTTAGGTCGATCTGCTCATTGCCCCTGTAGGCTGTATTATTTGTGTGATTATAGGGCCCTTAATAATGCAAACTCATAACAAACAAGAATAATATGAGGCCACATCATACCATCAGTTTTCAGGCAGGTTAGCTGAGGATTTCTGTCTATAAACAAAGGGCATGGCACTGCGCATAAATCCGATCTAAATCTACACTAAATAAAATTAAAGTTAAGACTCCAAATTCAATCTGTTACTATGTAACTCAGTTTAATGTAGTGTTCTTCAGGAAGCTGCTCCAAACACTCCTAAATTATTTTCCCCTTCCCCAGAATAAGCATCTTGATTGCTTATATTTGGCCCACGCTACAGAAAGCTGTCAACACGAGTTATCTTTCTTGCCATGAGCCTGCTTCGGTCAGCACAGAGACCTGACATTACCCAACAAACCCAGTGCTTTTGGTCACCCGAACAAAGCAACCTTCCTAAATGACATTACCCTTCAGCTGCCATACGACCACCAGCAAAATGCCAGGGCTTCTGTCAGTGACACGCTGGGGCTGTCTGCTCCCGAAGCCTCTTCAAGGCAGGAGATGGCTTTGCACTGATTTCTGCAGCGTAGCCGTGCTGGAGGCTGCACAGCAAGAAGAGCTCTTTTCAAGCTAACCCTCTTTACAGTCTTTTTCAGTTTTCTATTAATTTCTTTAAGCATCGATTTCTACATTTGCTTTAAAAAAGAGCTTATATAAGCATAAGGTTGTGGGTTTTTTTTTGTTATTTTCTTTTTTTTTTTTTGTTTATTTGTTAATCTGTTCTTCGATCTCTCTGAAATTTTTGCCACATCTGTTGTTGTTTGTTTGCTTTTTCTTTTTTTTAATTTTAAGTGTAGCTTTTTGTAGTGACTCTGAATGAAAGCACAAAGGGTTAGGTAGAAGTATGCTTCTGTCATGAGAAGAATGCTCTAAACTGGACAGCGGACATGAAGAAGAAAAAAAACCATCTCTTTTGTCTGTGAAGAGCTGTCGTGGGCTATCAGCAAACATTTTCCCCTGTATTTTACAATAAACTTCATGCACATTGGGCAGTTGGGAGGCAGCTGCAAAGAACAGAGGTAAGGTTATTGAGAATCTCCTAGTTTTTCTCATGAAACAGAAAAGTCTCCCATGGCCACAACCAGTTCGTGAGTTGTATTTAGATTTTGGATTGGAGAAAACGGAGAGACCAGTACTGAAGATGGCTCATGTTATGTGGACAAAAAGGTTTGCATTAAGAAGAGTTTTACAGAGTTCTGACAGTGAATCATCCCTGGCAAGGAGCAGTAGCAAAAGACTGGTTGGCTGGGAGACTATAGGATGCAGTGACTTCTCCATGCTCCCTCCACCCCTGATGCTCTGGATCCCTGATGCGTTCTGAGGAGGCTGCAGAGAAGTCCACAGTCTCACTTCCAGCATGGTCACATTCAAGAGGATACAGGCACGTAGAAAAAACATCCCAGCAAAAGATTCACGTATTCTTTCCTCTCCCTCCTTCCCTCCCCCAAGCTAATTTTTCATTTCATATCACTGCCCCCTGTTGCCAAGAGGAGTTTATCTATGGCGTTTGGTAAGGGAGCACTAAACACATTATAGTGCTATTTTAAATGACATCACAACTAACTAGATATTTTAATTGAAGGTAAATAACCAACATTATTGCCATTTGAATGATAGCAATAGTGGAGAGTAATGGCACCGCTGAGGAATCAATTGCTGCTTCCCTCATAAACCATAAACCATTCAGAGATTTATAATGCTTTTTTAATGATCAGCCCTTCTAGGTGTTGAGCAGCTCCTCTGAGTCTTCTGGCTGCCTGCTGAAGTCAATGGGGACAGGGGTGTCTGAACATCATGTATTTTGGTGCCACCTGGATGAAACGTGTCACACCAGTTATCAGCTGTAGTTATCAGCAAAGGAAAGAATGGGATTTTACCACGCTGCTCTGAAACAGCATGCCCCAAAGCCCACAACAGGAACACTTGACTCAACCATTGTTTCATAGCTTGTGTAAGATTAGAAATACATAGTGCATTTGTGTGCATTTCATGCCCTCTTAAGGTAGGTATAGCAAGTAACCTTGTAGAGGAAGCCATGTCTTCTGCATCCCTAAACGTGTTGCCTTGGAGTTTCAACTGTCCAAGACTGTGTTACCTAAAGTGGTGCCTCTGGTTGGTTCGGTGGCATCATACCATGAACAAAAACTAGTGGGTCTAGAGGCACTGTCCACCTTGCTCTCCCTTCCCTGACTTTTGGGTCCTAAAGTAATGTGATTCAGGGACAGTGTCAATGGCTCAGGTTTATTTTTGCAGTTAGAGTGAATCACATATTCATACACTCAAACCCGTGCTGACAAATTCAACCTACATTACTCAAGAGAGGATTCTCATCAAGTTAAGTGGGATTATCCCCATGATGAAGGGAATATAAGGCTGGTAATTATGTTTTCATTTTTAGCTTGGTTTACTTTAGTTTCGTATGATAAACAACCTTCTTAAGCTCCCGAGAGCCTCTATGATGTGATTGGGACCCATCAAGCCTTGGCTAAACTGGTCTGCACAAGCACAATCAAGCATCTTGTGACAATATTGCAAGAGCTGGCTACAATGGAAATGAATCTCCATCTCTGGATGTGGGAAGAGAGCAAAGAAAAACACAGCCAAGACAGATGAGCTCCTCCAGCCAGCCAGGAAGGAACCACATGCTTAAAGATGCACAGAATTCATTTTGAAAACCCAGACTCAGTCTGGTGAAAAAAACCAGGAGCGTTAATCCCTATATATTCATGTCATGAAAAATATTGCTGTTAATAGGACAAAAGCACAAACAGCAGCCACTGCCCCTCTCTTTTGTGTTTGTCTTCAGGGATGAAGAGTTTCATCGTACCTGTTCCCATTGCTAGCATACTGGGGTTTCCAATCCATTTTTAGCTCAATTTGCTTAGCATCTGGTGCACATCCAATCTAAATGTTGAAAAAGCAGCCGACCCAACCTGCTGCCACTTAAGTCAATGACAAAACTCCCATTGACTTCAAGGAGAGCAAAAGCAGTCGGGTTGTTAACAGGGAATTGGTGCCTATTGTTCACCAGAGCATGTCGGACTAGCATGTATCAACTCCACCAGTATCAAAGGGAGTTACTAGAGGAAATCCCCTGAATATTTATGCGATAGTCAAGAGGGGAGGGCTGCTTTTCCCTTTCCCACATATCTCTGCTGAGATGCTAGGTGAACAAACACAACTCCTGCAATGCCTGCCCACCCTCAGATTTCCCTTCAGAGGGAAGGGAAGGACGATGATGGGAAGAGCTCGCTGGCACACCGAGATCCTTTGCACCTTACAAGAAATACTGACTCATCCACAAGAGCCGGCGTGGAGTCGGTAGGTTCTCTGTAGCCACACTGCAGCATGCATTGCCTGTCCAGGGTGGCTTTGTGAGAGCTCCAGGGGAACCAGTTACATCCTAGGGCTTCCCAGAGATTTCCAGGGAGATCACTGGACTTCCTAGATGGCATTTTGTGCAAACAGACAGCCTGATATACAGTGTGTCTACTTACACATAGATTTTAATTAAATGGGATCAGCAAGATTTGTGTCTGCATGCTCACTGTAATTTAAAATCTGAAGGTCTTTTAAACAGCACGTTGGCTGTCTGTGTCATAAAGACTCAGGGAGAGAAAGTATTACCATAACGTATGGCATTGGGCCTGTATATATTTCCACCTTCTGAGAGTCAGAGGCTGCAGAGTGGAGTTTCACAGAATAAGAGGAGTGACTGCAGCAGAACCAGGATCACCCGGCCTGTAGCTAGGATGGACGTATGTCTTCTCATCTTATTGTCACAACGTAGAGCACAACCCAAGCGTCAGCCAAAGATTCACACCACACACCTCATTTTTGTACCTAGAGGCCATCAAAAGCACTGGTAACGTGGGATGGAATAAGCAGATAATTGTGTGAATATTTGTAAGCACAGACTCAAACATTCTTAAAGGGTGAGAGAATGGATGTGTGCTTTGTTGTGCTCTTCAGATGCTCTGGTCTCTGCTCATTCACCTTCTGGGTCTGACAGCTTCCCCATTGTGACTAAGCACAGAGGGTACGTGCAACCATTAATCACCATTATGCATTTATCTTTCCGTGGGGTCTGACCTGCGAGCGTGGGGCAGATCCTGCAGCCTCTGCTCCTTCCTGCACCCACCAAGGTCCCAGAGCTGTGCCTGCTGAGGTCCTGGAGCAGCACAGCCGCTGCAGAGCTGGGCACTGTGCCCTTTGCAGTACGGTCCGGCTACCGCTGCTAATCCCAGGAAGGTATTAACAGAAAGTTTGCGCACAGCATTATTAAATTAAAAGGTTGCAAGCTGCCACCAGACGACTTGAGAGGGGCTCTGGAGTATACGTCTGTTAATTTTAATGCTCTGTCTCAAAGTACAGAACTCTGGACATTTCCAGCATCATATTTAAAACATGGTACATCCACTAATACGTGATCGCGTGCATTAATGGACCAAATTAAGTTACAGGTATGAATTTTACATAAAACGGATTAATATTATATGTCATGGAGGAATTTTAAATACCCCATCTCCATGCATTTTTAATCGTTATGCGCTCTAATTTAACGTTCCCAGGCACCGCTCCGCCCGAGCCCCCAACCCCTCCTCCCCTTCCTCGAGTTTCGCTCGGGATTTTCCCGAGTCCCCTCCAATACACGCGGAGGGTAACGCGGATCGGGGAAAACCGCGCTTCGCCGCGGCGGGAGGTACTTCTCCCTCCCCGGGCGTCGGGTCACACGGCGGTGGGCCGTGGGGGTTTGCGCTGGGAGCCGCCGGTGCCCGGTCCCGCCCGCATTCCCGCAGTCCTCCCTCCCGGGCCGCCTCCTCCTCCTCCTCCGCCTCCAGCCCCGGGGGGAGCGCCGCCCGCCCCCTCCAGCGGCGCCGTCGCCCCGCCGCCATTGGTCAGCGCCGCGCTCCGAGGGGGGAACGGGGCGCCCCGATTGGCCGCGCCGCCGTGCCGCGGCGCCCCCCCGCGCAGCGCCGCGCCCCGCCCGCGTCCGCCTCTATTTAGCGGGCGGCGCGGGCGGCAGCGACAGCAGAGCGGCCGCGGCGGTGGCTGAGCGGTCGGGCGGGACGGGCTTTGCGGCAGCGCCGTCTTCGCCGCATCCCGGTGGGGAGGACCCGTCTGCGAGCAGCGAGAGGCCGCGCGGCCGTGCCCGTGCCCCGCTCGCGTTGCGTGGCGGCGGGCGGGCGGCGCGTGCCCGAGGTCGCGGGAGGAAGTGGCGGGGGAGGTCCCAGTCTCTCTCCGTGCCCGCGGCACCATGAAAGCCGTGAGCCCCGTCCGGCACCCCGGGCGCAAGGCGCAGCCCGCCGGGGCGGGCGGCGGTGGCGGGCATCCGGCGCTGCGGTGCTTGGCCGAGCACAGCGGCTGCAAAGGGGGCGAGGAGCCGGCGGCCCTGTGCCTGCAGTGCGATATGAATGACTGTTACAGCCGGCTGAGGAGGCTGGTGCCCACCATCCCGCCCAACAAGCGGGTCAGCAAAGTGGAGATCCTGCAGCACGTCATCGACTACATCCTCGACCTGCAGCTGGCTCTGGAGACGCACCCGGCGCTGCTCCGGCAGCCGCCGCCCGCCCTGCACCCGGGCGGTTGTCCCGCGGGCACCCCGCGCACCCCGCTGACGGCCCTCAACACCGACCCGGTAAGAGGTGCGTGCCCGTCACGGGGGCGCGAGAAGGGAGCGGGGAGGCATCGCTGCAGGGCCCAGGGGGTAGCGCAGCCCGGAGGGACCGGGGCGGGCGCGCTGTCTTCCGGCGGAGCCCCGCATCCATCCCTGCGTTGTAACTGTAGCCCCTCGGGGGAGCGGCCGCTATCCGCGTGTTCGCACGTACGGGAACGCCGCGCGGCCCCTGCGCTCCCCGAGCACTGAGCGTTTGCGGCGGGCGGCGTGGGGAGCAGCCCGGCTTCGTGGGACCGGCTTCCCCCTCGGTGCGCACCTCCGGCAGCGCCATGCTTTGAGGGAGGGGGCGAGGGGGGGGGAGAGGGGGAGAGAACGCGAGGTCCGTCGATGCCGCCGTGACGCGCCGTCTCGTTGCTGCGCAGGCTGGCTCTGTTAACAAGCCGGGGGACAGCATCCTCTGCCGCTGAGCGCCGCTGCCCAGGTGAGTGCGGGCGTCGGGGTCGGCGGGGCCGGGGAGCGCGGCGCTGGGTAGGGGCTGAGCGCGGCCGGGAGCCCGGCGGCAGGCTGGGGGGTTTGTTTCCCATTTACGGGGCGGGCTTTCATTCTTCTAACGCTGAGCTTTTATCACAGCCCCAGCCCGCGGGCCGCGGCTGTGTGTGTGCGTGTGAGTGCGTGCGTGTGTGTGTATGTGTGACCCGGGGCATCGTGGAGTGCCGCTGGCGCCAGCCCGTCTGGAGCGGATCGGCTCACCCCCTTGTGTGCCTTCCTTCCTTCCCACAGGTGCACGGCGGGGGGCGGGCGGGGCGATGCCCGTTCTGAGCCGCTCCCAGGCTCCGGCCGGCCCCCGTCTCCCCGTGCGCGACTCCCCGGCCCCGCTGCTCTTCTCTCCCCGCGGTGTTGGCGGTGGGGTCGGACCGAACAGGAGGAGCGGCGGCTCTGCCCCGGGACCGAGTGCGACGGAGGGACGAGCACGGCTCCACCGCGCAGCGCTGCCGACCTCCGGAGCGCGTATAGATAGACCTCGTCTATTGTTTAAAATAGATGGCTTATGGGGCCCGGGAACTTTTCTTCTCCCTGCAGGAATGTTGCATACTGTACAGAGAAACGAGTGACATTTCATACTGTGTACATAGAGAGATGTTCTATAAGTGTGAGAAAAGTATATGCTTTAATAGACTACTGTAATTATAAAATATTTTTAATTAAATATTTTTTTGTAAATATGATAAAAAGTGTGTATGTTTTTTTTTAAATCTGTGGGAATCTCTCTTTAGAAGACGGCGGCTCAGTGTGGAGCTCCGGTATGGAAATATCCCGTATGCGTAGGGCTTCTTTGTCCCCATGTCCCTTAGCCTCGGCTGTAGCGGTGGTCCTGCATGATTGCATGCCATGTCTGATTGCAAATAAACTTGTTCCGACTCATACAGAAGTGTTTTCCTCGACCTAGACTTGAAATGTTTGTAAATGTATTATACATGGAGCCTCCGCTTGTGTCACTTAGCACAGGGGGGTTTTGGTGCGTTCTATACGCATAGGAGTAGGATGTAGTGTTTTTTTTACTGCGAATGGACATTCTATCTACTTTTTGCATTATGGGGCAGTGCTTTAGCTCTTTAATCGGCTTTTTTAAAAGACCTGCTGTTGCATCAGATCAATAAATTTGCTCTGGAACTATAGTACCAAAAGGGTTTTTTGGGAACCTGCATTCCTATGCTCTTACTAACTGCTTGAAAAGCGAATACAGTTCCCTGCTTGCAACCAAAGGGCAACCCACAAACAAAACCAGTCACTGTTTTCTTCATCCAAAGAGTATTAGTGGGGGACTGTGGGAAGGCGTATGGGCAACACCATTACCATCAGCGGTGTGGACTCATCTGCAATGAGCTTAAGTAGACCAAAAAAAATCAGAACTGTGTCAAGATTATTTTTCTAGCACCAAGTAACTTTCGTTTCACTGCAGCTATGTTACAGCTAAAATCCTGTTTAATCTCTGTGATGTGTAATTACTACATGTGAACATTAAACTAGATTTACCTGTCTTTACCTGTGATTCTTCAGCTTATTTCTTCAATTCTCTGAGTTTGCATGTTCTCTTTGCTTTTTGCTTCGTATGTACTGTTGGATGGGCAAATGCAGCCTTGTACCCCTGTGTTTGCTGAGTGCCAGGTAGTGCCTGGGCTGAGTGGAAGATGCCTGCTTGGTGTGCTCAGCAGCCCGTGTGCTTCTGAGATGGGGTTTGCAGAAGGGGAGAATTAAGTAGGGTTTAATTGGGTGCTTTGTAAATAGTTAGCCAACTGTGTGCGTAACATGGGCTGTTTGACTGAAAAAAGGGGATTTGTTTCAGATTATACAAGTGTCAAAAGTACCGTAACCCAAGGGACTGCTGCTATTATGTTAAATATTTATAAGGAAATGAACTACTGGGGTCATTAGCTGTTGACTACAGTGATAATGTCAACAAGATTAACATTTTCTTAATCAAAATAATTGCATCAAGCTCCAATCAAAGCCGAGCTCGCGTGTCAGCAGGCACAAGGCCTCCTGTCACCATGCTGCTTTGAAGGCAGAGGCATCTCACGGGGCCCAGGGACAGGGATGAGGTCCTGCTTTATATTTTTCCCCCTATTCAGATGTTGCAGTAATAGTTTAACGAGCAAAATACGTGTTCTTGTAGAATTAAGCCCTGAACATCTTGTCCCGTGTCTCCCACTAATTCAATGACAGTAGGGATACTATTAAAAGGCCATTTTGCAGCTGTTTGGGAGTTCTTCGCTATGCCTTTAAAAACAGTTTTCCACAGGAAAGGTTTACATTTCCATTCATTTTCCTTGTTTAACCTATTAATATTTGTAGTCCAATGCTTAGTTGAGCTTACACAGCTCGGCTTATTTTGTATACGGGATTTTCAGTAACATTTGTTCTCAATACCCTCGTTTGTTTCTCTCCCCTGTTGCCAAATTACAGTATTCTGTTACACAGAGGAGGAAGCAGCAAAACATGCTGTCTTAAGACATGAAACTGCCTTGTGGAGCTCACCCTCACCGAGTTGTGCCCTAGGAGAGCCAACAAATCACAGGCAGGTCCTGATCCCGTATTGATTCAGATTGGGGCAGCTTCCCGTTGAATTGAGTTTGGTTTTGTGTTTTTAAAAATGTTGTGGAGCAACAAGTTACAGCCTTCAGAAAACTGAGCTCTTACTGAAGGAATGGGAAATTTGTTCACGTTTTACAAGATTCTTGACAAATAGGAAAGCCGATGTATAGCATCCGAAAATCCTCCATCACTGCATCAAGGCTGCTCTTGATTAATTCCTCATGCTACGCTTGAAGCTGTAAGCAAGGAGTATCTTGTTCCTCTCTCGATGCTGGAGTCAGTACAGCCACGTTTATTTTGGTTTTTCAAAGGTTGTAGAGTCCTTCAGAATATTTGAATCCCATACCTTGTCTAAATCATGTTTTCCATACAGCAAAGGACATAAATGTTTGAACAAAGGCAAATTAAAAGGGCTCTTTCTTCTAATGCCTCGGATTTTCTTAGTCACAAAAGCATTCCTTAAAAGGAACTATTTGATTGCATGATGAGGGCGGTGGTGAGGCTGCCAGATTAGGAATTAGGATACCAAATTCTGTTCCCAGCTCTGCTACTGTATCTCCATTGTGACCTTGAGCAAGTCACCAGCTGTCAAACTGAGGTCCCGCTTCCCGTTTGCCATGTGCTGGTGACTGAGCGTGCTTGGCCCCGTAGGAGCAGGGAGATGGAACAGGCGGAGCGCAGTCATGGTTTTTACTTCATCTTTGGGGAAGTTTTACCTTACAAGGGAAGTGTGGGAAGAAGAGTGGTTTTTAAGAAGCCTTTTGATGGGAAGGCTGTGAGGACCCCTTCGTTGGGATGCTGCATGCGTTAAGGGCGGGGAGGTGGCACCGGGAAGGAGTAGAGGAGGGATCGAGGTCATTCCATCCCCAGCTTGCCTGCTATGCTGTCTGCAGAGCGCAGCGATGAGCACTGCACCTCTGTCAGCTGCAGCGCTGCGGTCCCAGTCCATGCAGATGCTCGGACTCCTCTGACATTTCCAAGCCATCAGAGGCGTTGCTTCCATGGGAAAGCCAAATTCTAGCCCTTACCATGGGAGATACGTTTTCTCAACTGTTGTGCATGGAGCTGGTATTTATTTTCACTTTCTAAACCACGCTGCACTGCTTTTAAGCAGTTGCGTTTTCAGCCCCAACCGAAGTGGTGTTGAGGAATTCCATAGCTGCCCTGCAGGTTGTTCCCAGTTAATGAATAAACAGATTTATGCCAAAGCAGGGCAGCACTCTGCTGTTACATGTTTTCAATGCTTTTATAGCAGTAGAAGTCAGATTTTTTAAAAACCTTTGCAGTCAGGAAGAAGAAACCACAGTACAAGCAATTTGAGTAATTGTCTCAGATGCAACACAATTTACAGGCTTCTCCAATAGTGAGGCTTGCAGTGCTAAATAGTGTGCTTCCAAAACAGCAAGGAAAACATTTTACTCTGAGCACATGCGATCTGCAAACACAGGCTAAATATATTCCCCCTGTGCAACTGCTTCCATTAGAAAACTCACCTCCTGTGATGGAGAGAAGTCACCCTGGCAAATGCACTTCTCCATCCGAAAGGTGCCAGGCTGCAAGGCAGATCTGCCCCAGCTTTCTTCCTTTGGTGGGCATGCAGCATGCTTTGGCATGATGTGAGGCTTGGGGTTTATTTTCTTCCCTCCTCTCTTTTTAATTTTTCATTTCTTCCCATTTTAACCTTATTTTAGCCTTGGGTCTGCTCGCTTCCCCTCCCCCAAGATAATGTGTTTATCAAGTGGCAGGGTACGCTCGTCTCTGGTAAAAGAAGCACTCTGACAATTTTCACAACATGTGTAATTTACTTAAGGACCCTAATGGCTTCTCCCGAGCCGTGTCATGTAAATAAATATTCCGACCATTTTTAGCATGCACATTATGTGCTCCACAGATCAATGGCTTCTTTGGAGCTGTTACAGTTCATCCTGTAGGTTCCTATTCAGACGTCTAGTATGCATTATTGTTTGTCATCCCTTCATTCAGAGATGTGGTGTCTCTACTTGTGGCAGACCAACATTAATGCATGCGGTACACAACATTTCAGAATTAATACTGCTTATCCTCTTCAGTGGGTCGGAAAGGTCCCATGGCAGTGTGGAAGCAGGAAGAGAATTGTTCACCTGAACGCTGCTGTGGCTCATGCTCACTCGGGACCAGGCCTTTAGGCCTCCTTTTCCTGTTCAGCATCCCAGGAGCAGGCAGGCATGAAGACCCACAGGCATGGAGTCATGCATGCAGATGGCCTTATGCCTCCATAGCTCTTGGGGCAAATCCTCTTCTATTTGCAGATGGTGGGTGGGGGGAAGGGAGGATTTACATTCCCATCCCAAAAGGATGCTGCAAGGGGAACCCTGGCAGAAGCATCCCATGAGATAAGAGGGCCTGTGGCCTCTGAGCAGACTGTTGAAGGAGAACCTGGGTTGAGAAAGATACAGTTCCTGTTTTAACGCAGACATCTGCAACAATAGAGGTGGAAACATTAAAAAAAAAAAAAAAATTGCTATCACAGTCATTTGCTTGTAATACGGAGGCTTTTGTCTCACCTTGTTTAAACAGTCCCACTCCTCTGTTTAGTTTACTTGTGTTAATATTCCCTAGAGACTTCATCATTTGCTATTGATGAGCACACAACAACAAAAAAAAAGGAGAATGTTGCTGTCCATGCAATTAATTCTCTTTCCAAGTGCTTAAAATTCAGCATATCCCTTCTGTTCCAAAGGTGCTAGATCTTCAAAACCAGCAAGCTGCTCGCAGTCATCTGGGAAACCCAGGTTGTTTTGGAGCACATAAAAACATTCAGGTCTGATAAATACCCACAGTGTGTTTTGCATCTTCATAATTTGGGATTCCATTTACTTGGCATGAGCAATAAATAAAACAATAAATAAAATATGCTTCCTGCCTCAAGGACATTTCTCTACATAAGTTGCAGCCCAGTATACAAACTCTTTCCAAACCACCTGGCACCGTGCACCTACCATGCTTCTCATTCTAAAGGCGGAAACACCTCAGAGCTGAGTGCAAACAGCGCTGTTGCAACCAGAATGGAAGCATTTTCAGATAAGGTGTTTAATAAGGATGTTAAGAAATATAAATAAAGCACCCCTTTAGATGGAAAATGGGCAAATTGTGT